CCTTCTGTTTGTCGACATCACAACTTGCGACAGCCTAAGCCGGACCCCGTTTAGTCTTTGAGACTCCGAGAGAAGTTGAAGGGTGCGGAGCCGCGAGCTATGTCTCCTATCACTTGAAAGGTAACCCCTGAGACCAGTTTTTTCTGTACAAATTTGTTGGCGCACTTGGTGAACTTCATCGAAACCGGTGGTCGAACACACACTAAGCGAAGACCCGGAAATAATTATTCAAGCGTTGCAGTCCAAATGCATGATCTGTGAGCTTGCATTTATGGGCACTTTTTGATCGTCAGCATACAGAACGGCCTGTGATTCCAAAAAACGCCTGAAAGACAATTTAAAAAAACAGAATGGTATATTTATTGAGAAGATCAGTGTGACCGACAGTGAGATCGCGACGTTGATCGCTGCACTAATGACCTTGGCCCATAGGCCGCTAAAGCGCGTTATTTGTGTTGGTCTTTGTATGAAATTACTTCACAGGCGGGTGCTTCAACTTTGATTGGTGTATTCGGACTTTACAATCTTTACAGGCCACCGCAGCTTCTAGAAATTAGGTCTCATTTATATTAACTATAAATTCCTCTCTTTAAACGATTGTTTCCCTTATTCTCAGAACAACTAACCTTTAAATGCATGATCGCGTGCAGTCTATAGTTTTTTTTTCCCGCAATATTGTTCTTATTTTAGTAATTATCGTGCACTTCTTCAGGTATACAATGTAATAGAGGGTATTTAAGCCAAATTTGAGAGTTACTGTTTTCTTACATGGATTGCGTATTAAGAAGATCGCTAATGCTTACTTCAAAATATTTTATAAGTATTTAAATCTGAGATTAACGTGAAAATTCTTGTTTCTTCTGCCTGCATAACATGCCTCTTTTAATGCAGATTTTCGGATTTTCTGACCTCTTTGATTTCTTTCACAGAAATTCAATCACAATATTTAATCAGATTGGCTCTCCAGTAACATTCTACCCATGTCGAAGAGGAAGCGATGTGTCATCTTTAGCGACTCCGACTCGGGTAAGCTTTTAGCGCTTGACCCAAAAAATTATCTTATCTCAGTGCGTCTATTTATTAAATCACGTATAGATGTCACCTTTCTCCCATCCATGGACTATCAGTTTGAAAGACCAGATCACTTTCAGTTCACGTCACTCGATTCGAAGGAAATTGACATACACCCTTGAAGTATCGCAAAATTACGAGACAATTACACTGTCAACCCGACACAGATTGAGTTTCGCATAAGTAGGTTTGTAGTTGACTTGTTACTGCAGCACGTGTCAGTCAAGCAATGCCTGAAGGCTTCCACAGTCGGCTCAGACCGGCTGTTCCACTCTTCTATCACCGGGTTTTCGAAGAAATACTACATTTTCGAACAACTAGTTTAAAGGGATGTCAGCAAAAGTTTGTCTCAGTGATGAGTTTAAAAAAATCCTAATACCGGAGGACTTGTTTCAAGTCGCCTCGCACTCACCTCTGACTCAGAGGAAACGCCTCTAGGGTAGTTTGACGAATCACGTATGGTAATATACCTTGACATCTAACTAATTTGGTAGTTCTACTTCCAATATCTTCAGGCAGTTTATAGTCATGCTGAATTCAGGGTCTCGGGTCTGTATTTCAAGTGTAACCTTACAAACATTTAGAACTCTTTAAAAGATCCGTCGTTGTTGAAACCTCAGTAAAACGCCTAAACGGAACTAAATAGTTCCGTTAAAATTGTAATACTATCATAATTTAGCAAGTATAAGCATTTGGGTTTATTGACGGTTGAGCGAAACTGCGCCGTCTCGTGATCAGTCATTTTATGTCAATGTCAGTCTAATCTTCTAATCGACCCTCCAGTGACTGTCTGAACTTTTGCATACGTCTATCATAAGTACGTTGTAAACCTTTTATGTAAAAGCTAATTCTTTTCCGGACTTTGCTTTCATATTTATTGGGCTGGTCGTTTTATTGACCTGATGGAGGTGGTGTCTACATTTCCTGCAAGGAAGTCTTTAATTTGACATTTTCAGTTCATTAGTCTCTCCTCTTTCCATTAGAGCATGAATTTGACTCGAAACTTATACCACCGCCACGCAAACACTCTCGGCATTCACCCAACATGGCGGAGGATAAAGTCAAGAAACGCTCCATCAAGGGTGAATCTACCTCCGACCATCAAGCCAGGAGTCCGACGAGGAAGAAGAGGGGTTCAGAAAAGCCCCGACCGACGTTCGAAGAAGGCGAGCTCTATTTCTCTTCTGTGCATTATGTGCGCATGTATGCAGATACCTTGAGAAAAACGTATCGGGCAATTTGATTAGAAATTTCTGTTTTAGGTTAATGCAAAATTCCCAAGATTACATCCCCAAGACTTGTAAGGCTTGTGGATAATATACAAAACAGTTAGATTTTTAGTCGTAGCCAGCTAAATATTTTATAGTTGGTCAAATTTTGCAGAAATTTGCGTTCATCACATCCGGTCCTCCTCCCTGGATTGGCTTTATCCCGCGCATCCTCGGCAACTTTGTGTGTGGCTTCTAATTTGATGAGCCCACCGCATATGTATGCATTGCCTCCGGGGTTTCGCGGCCATCCGTTTTCAGACAGGCGTTAACGATACGACCGTTCTCTGATGTATGCTGCGTGTAGTAGGTCGCTCGTTGCGAAAAACATGCCAATTAGGAGGCCCCAGCAGCAGCTTGTTGATAGCCCAGCGGGCTCGCGCTGCATCTCTGTCAACTTTTATCTCCCGATGGCAAAGCGAACGCGAGGTGACTAGATGTGGATTTAAACACATTGGCAGACAACGCTACGCAGCTCGTTTATGCGAGCCAATTACGACTAAGCCTGTCCTCCACTTGTACCAGGTTACCAGTAAAGGCGGATGTTCAAATCTCACGTGGAAAAGAGTTCCGGGAAGCTAAATTTAAAAGGGTTTCATGACAGTCTTGCCCCTAATCCCGAGCAGGATCCAATCGTCTCGTTAGCTGGCATACCGCGATCGCTTCGGGCTTACAGGATTTATTATGCTGATAAATGTCCAGCGGTAAATGCTTTTTCCTCCGCACCAGCTACATCCTCTTCCCTCTTTCTATGCTGTGCTACCTGTGAGAAATGGTCTCCTGTCCTCGCCATTAGCTGTGCGTACGAATAGAGGCCGATTTCCTGGATTGGTAACGAAAGACTGCGCTGCAACCGATATGGGGGACTTTGCGACATCTCTTATGGCGCCTATGCGAGGAGGCAGTGAGATCGTTCATAAAGCTAGCCTCATTCCAGGCCTATAGGCTCCGACGGCAGTAAGGTTTTTTTTCTTTGGAATTGAAGCTTCGCTGTTGTGAATTGCTCCTTAAATGGGAGTCCAAGTCGTGTATCGTTTCGCCGTGTTTTGTGCCCGTAGAGACAATTTCCGCGTCTGGTTAGGTGGTGGTTCCTCAGACGACAACATTTTATTCTGTTCTTTTTCGTCAAGCTTCTCTGATTGTGCTTTAGGTCGACTTTTTTCGTCTAACCTGACACCTACTTCGCTTTCCAGGTCACAAAGTGGACTCCAAATCGCCATCGGCAAGCGAACACTCACCCAGCAGGGAGAAGGTTAAGAGACACACAAATGATGCCGATCATCATCCTAGAAGGAAGAAGAAAGAAGAAAAACACAGATCAATCTTCGAAGAAGGTAAGTCCGTTGCATTTTCTTCTGTTTAACTGTGTCTAAAATATCAGGTAGCTATACACATGTCCTGGAAGATAAAGCTTATACTGAAACTTCTGAACTAACTCCTGAGATATGAATCTTCTGTTCTAATAAGAATAATCCACGGTGGCGGGATGAAGGCAGAGTAAACCCGAAGCAGT